GACATGTGACTCTCAGCACCTAGGCTTTCGGCCAACCTCTCCAATTCAACGGTGTCCAATCGTATGACGGTGAACTTATGTATACTTCAGCAGGAATGGAAATAATGGTGTTAGTGGAGGTCTATATCGGCATCCATACACCAACATAGCAAGAACGGACCCGGACGCCAAACAATCGCTTCGATGTGCGTACCTCGCATGATTGGTCACCTCTAGCGGACGTTCTTCTGCAGCCATGTCACGTCGTGGACGTATTTCTCGACTTGCATCGATTCCTCATTTAAGTTGGCCGGGTGGGCAACCCGGTTCATCTGAACGGTGATATCCGTATCGTCTGCGCCCGTGACAGGCAAAGGCGTTCTGGGGCAGTGACATACCAAGACATGTCCGTCTACCGTGCCAAGTGGAGTCTGGTCCACCGCTATCTGCCCCTCGCCGTCCGCAAACACCATGTCGGAACCTCGGTCCATGCCGCGTGCAGTACGCAAGTCACAACCTATCTTTGCCTCAACTCCCAAGTTCCTTTATGTAGTTGCCTACATTGCTTCCAGAACTTGGATGTCATGGACTCAGTGTGCACACGGAAAACCCGGGTCTCTGGCTCATTACATCTACCGTGGTTTCTACGTGTTCTCTCATCTCATTCTGTGATGGTTTTCACAGCTGGAACAACGAAACCTTTTACGACATGACTTAAGCTGCATCAAGGGCACTCCCGATGCTTATGCCGTCTCCGGTTCCTTGAGTGGCCATTACCAGTTAGCAGAAGGGTTGGCTGGAATGCTGTGGAGCTAGTGTTCCGGAAGCTGGGGACCTTTCGCTAAGACTACTCAGCAGATAAGTTGAAAGAGCAGCTTCTTACCACCCCTGAACTACGGGAGCGTTCTTTGATCGCAGTTAGCTCTTCGCTGTTACTCACTGACCGAAGCTGTCAGTTGGTCAACCAGGTTAAACTGGACACCGTGAAATGCCTATGTTCGGGCTATCGGATGACCGCTGGCCATCCCTGGGATCCTTAACTCCATTTCACGGGTTCTACGGCCAAGAAGGCGGCCTGTTATGGCACCAAGAAACTCGCGAACAGATGGTAGGATCAAACATGCCCAAGAGATTGCGACAATCGCTCGCATAGATTACTCTCCTCGCCTCGACTGGATCTGAAAACACGGCTCTCCGATGGTGGCGACCTAGCACCTTCTCGGGAAACTTAGTGAGAGCATAACTACGCTTTGTAGGGTATTTAGATCCAAGATCCCAAACCGCTCTTCTGCCAGAACCCTTTTTCCCCATCAAGTCCGCATCAGACAATCCGGTGGCTTGTTCCGTTTCTGTTTCATGTTCTCGATGGCGTTGGCGGCCTTCAAGGATGAAAACGCACGCCATACCCGTTTTCGACAAGCCCTTTTCCCTTTCGCGCCTCTTGGCTGGTACCCTCAACTCAGATTCTAATTGCCACGATCCGAATCACATCACAGAGATACTGCACAGCTGACTACTGGTCGCCCATCTCCACTCTAGCCACGACCGCGTGCGCCGAAATCAAATCTGCGCGTGGATGTACTCTTCACACAACGTGTCCCAGGTTCGTTTGTCCTGCGGCCTTCATTCGCGGGACTTTTTCTGAAAAAGCCCCCGAAGTGAGGTGGCCTGCTAGTTTCAGAGACAGATCCCATTCTTCCTACATGTTGCAAATTATCTCACACCCTCAGAGAGCGTGTCCTCAGATCGGCAGGCAGATTAGACTCGAGGATTTCATATTAAGCTCCAGATCACAAACTCCGGGGGTCCTTAGCAGGCGCCGAGGCAGTGTGAAGTGATGTCACAGGTCATCGATCTCTTCCGCCCCCGCACAACCTGTTCTCTTTTCTGGAAAACCGTCCCGCGATTCCCGATTCGGGCTGTACCGTGGACCCACACACATCAACCGATCATAGCCAATCAGGAAGGGCTTGCAATCTCACCGCACCTTGGCTTCGTCCATTCTTAGGTACACGAGACTAACCTTTTCTCGATCGTATCTAGCCACCCGTGATTAATTTGTGATGGGAGAAGATACGATAACTGCTCCTGCCGCAGGCGCAGTGTCCCAGTTCACACCGGCGCCACAGCATGGCCAAGCTTGGGATGGTGAGAAACTGCGCAACAGAAAAATCTGGTTGCTTCCATGCAGCGCAGGTGGCACAGTACCGAACGCAAGAAGAGAAACGCCGTCAAACAGGTCGTAAAGCTACACTAATATTCGCGCTGGTCAGATGCGTAGCGTACAATGGAAACTTGAAAGTGCATAATGGACACTTGGAGTGTTGGGGGAGATTACGGAGAGTGCGGACCATGACACGACAAAATAGAGAAGACGGAAGCAGAATACTTCCTGCAGACGAACAAGTTCCTAGGGCACAACACGCCTAAGGAAATCCGACAAGTCCCTCAGCTCCCGTGGGCACACAGAATGATCCCAAGCCCTGTAACTTCTAAAGCTCAACCCAGGAGAGCCTAAACCCCCCTCGACGCCGGAAGGTTGGGGCAAGTTGGAAGTACAACGGGCGTTGCGGTCGGTGCCCAGTGTAAGACTCTCGACCATAGGTATTCCGCACTCAGAAGTAAGTTTCTTCATGAAGGTGTCTGCGACTTTGTGCCGGACGACGCTATCGTCCGTTCCGTGGCCCCAAAAGATAGGCATTTGCGCAGCATGCGGAGACAGAAGCTGTGCTTCCAGGTTCAGCAATTTCCACCGCAAGGCTCCACTTTGCGCTGACCTCTTGGAAGCTATTTCGCAGGGGAAGCCAGCCGCTGAGGACTACTAGCCCACCGAGTTTCCAGCCTTCCTTACCCCCGGCGAAACCGTCCTCGGGGCGGCTGGTAAGACCTGCTAGCAGTACTGCTGCGGCTCCTTGACTGAACCCGCCCACGACAACTCGTTCGGGGGGTACACCTGCATCAACTTCTCTTTGAATAAATTCGTCGATCATACGCGCAGCCATCATGATTTCAGCGCGATCTTCCGCTGCGCTCTCAAAATCATGGGAAATGATATCAAACCAACGGGGCATAGATTTCTTGTTGTCGGCTGTGACCTCGCCGGTAGGTGCGTGGGGAAGTACCCACTTGACATGCGGCAGATCCTTGGACAGTGTATCAGTAATTGGGCGCCATCCTTCGCCGGTGTCGCCGAGCCCCTAAGATGGGGGGTAGGGTCAGTTGGGCAGGTAGTTGAACGAGGTTGGAGATGGACCTACGTGGCAAAAGATGACGGATGCTGTATGATTTCCTGTCGGGGGGATGACAAGAGGTAATTCAGGCGTTGGCGTGGTCATGCCCGGGATCCAGTGTCAATAGAGAATGGAATGGAGAGGTGAAACGAAAACGAAGGAGCGTCGAACGACGGGGAATAAATACAGAGAGATATACCGAAACTACAACAATGAGTTCATGAGGCCTTCATGGGATCGATGGGATTTCATTTGCAGAAATCCCAGACGGTAGTGACCCTCGGCACGATCGGGCCGCGCACACTCCGAGTGGATAGAGCCAATCGCAGCCTTCCTTCGTTGAAACCCCACATGGAGACGGAAAGCGCACGAACGGAAGCTGAGGGAGACCAGGCCACACCCACTCAGGGTCTGTCGAAAAGGGCACAAAAGCGTGCTGCGAAAGCCGCCAGGCTCCATGAACTTAAGCTTGTACGCAGGGCACGCGAAAAGGAGGCAAGGAAGCGCAAGCAGCAGGAGCGCGCTCGGGCCGTCGCAAACGACGAGTGTGATGTCAATGTCACCCGCAAGCGACGCAGAACCGGCGCCGTTGGTGGAGGCAGTCCATTTAATGCAAGACTGGTTATCGATCTCGGGTTCGATGAGCTGATGACAGACAAGGTGATTTTTTCATTCCTTCCTGCACTCTCACACGTGGTAACGACCACGGGCTCGCAGGAAATAAACTCCCTCACCTCACAGCTAGCATATACGTACAGCGCCAACAGACACGCATCACACGCCTTTTCATCCTTGCTTTTCACATCTGTCAATGGCCGGACTAAGCAGCGCCTGGACGCCATGAACGATGCCGGATACAGAAGGTGGTCAAACACAGAATGGTGGGAGGACAGTTATGAACACATATGGACCCGGTCCTTGTCCCCGGCGCGATCTCCGTCCCACGAACTTACGAGCGCGCCGACCAACTCCACCTCCGAAACCACGGCTGACGCGGATGACCTCCGCAGGACCGTAGTTTATTTCACCGCGGACTCGGAGAACGAGATCCTGGAACTCAAGGAAGGGGAGACCTACGTTATCGGCGGAATATGTGATCACAATCGATACAAGGTTGGCTGGTACCACGGCTTATCTGCCTGCTCGTATCGATGACATGCGGGCACAGAACCTATGCCTGAACAAGGCTAACACTTCCAAGATCCGCCATGCTCGCCTTCCCATCGGCCGTTACATTTCCCTTTCGACACGGAAAGTGCTGACTGTCAACCAGGTACGTTCGTTGGAGGCCATCGCCAATTATGTGACAGGGGTCACCATTCGCCGTGGCTTGCTGGGACCGCATGCAATTCATATCTCATGTCGCCAACTGTCAATTGCCGTGTGGGCACTGACTCATCTTTCGATAGGTGGTTGAGATCCTTCTGAAATGGGTCGAAACACGCGACTGGGAAAAAGCATTTTGGACTGTCATTCCGAAGCGGAAATTTCAGGGTGTTGAACGTGTTGACCCCAAGGATGACGGTAGCACCACCAACGAAGTGGAGGATGGAAACGAACCGGGCGGATATGCAAACAGTGATTTGGAGGGGGCGTAGCAATCCTCCCATCTACACAGGTGGTGGCGACATCGTGTCAGACAACGGGGAGAAGGATCAACGCTAGGTGGGACGTGCGGTCCCGAGTAGCTTCTGAGATGTGATGAGCCTTGGATCACTTGTGTCTTAGGCCGTCCGTGGCTTTGCCCATGCGAAACGTGTCTTGTGGGTGTGGAGCGCCGACATGGTCAGGTGCCCCATGGCTGAGTTGGTTACAGCGTCCGACTGTTACCAATATGATGACATCGGAAGGTCGTGAGTTCGAGCCTCACTGGGGCAGTTCTTTTTGTTGCAGTTTCTGCCGGAAAGATCCCTGTCACTCAAGTACTCATGCCCCACGATCTATACCATTCTCCACTGCTCTTTTGCATTTCTATTGTAAAAACATGCGTAGAGATACAGACTCGACGCAATACAACTGTAGCATAACACCGAAAGTGCGTAATAACTCAAGAGGTTTAGTAAAACTCTCCTGGTTGCGGTCAACCCGTATCTCCGTCCTTGGCGCCGGCTTCTGAAGGCACAGGCGACGACGGCTGTTGGGTTATGGAGATACTCAAAGGACGGAGCGCAACCTTCATTCGTTTCGGTGGATCGTCGCCTTGCTTGGCAGGAGGTCTTGACCGACCACTAGCGGTGTCACCGTCCTTGTGAGTACCCAAGTCTGCCCGCTTGGGTTTACTGGCCAGGCGTTCAAGAGGTTCTTCCTCGTCATCGTCCTCTCTTCGCCGCTTCCCACCCATCCGCGGGAACTGTAACGAGGGTTTGGGAGACGATGTACCGGCATCTGCAGGCGTCGATGCAGCCGTGGGCGTTGTCCGCGTTATTGATTCCAGCAGGCTCTCATCTTCCTGTAGAGACCGTCGACGAGGAATGTTGGAGGGACGTGGTATTTGTCGATGCGCTAACCGTGGACTGGGTGGAATGTCCGAATCGGACAAGGGTGAGAGGGGTGAGGTGGCAGCGGATTCTTGGGCGCGTTCAGTATCCTCGTCTTCATCGTCATAATCCATGAGAGCAGATAGTTGCGGGGTACGGGGTAAAACGAAATTTTGGGGTCGGAGAGATATTTTTGAGGGGACTAAAGCCCCTCTCCGCCTACGCCTATGCGCGCCCAGTCCACCAGATGAGCGGGATCCAATACTAGACGAACTGATGAATGGCGGTGGTTGGTCGGAATCATCGTCATCATTATTAAAATAGCTTTCTTCATCTGCGTCGATGGCACGCCCCATTCGACGGAAGTCTCTGTTGTCCCTACCTCGGAATTAGCGGGCTTAGAAGCCTATCAGAGGGCTGTGACACACCGGTCAGACTGAGTCTCTTCCTTCGGTGGAGGTTCAACGTTAATCTCCCATCGACGTATAAAGGCACTGAATCGTGCCCCGCCGGTTGGCGTAGTAGCGATTTGGCGAACTACGGCCTCATGTTTCGTCATGCAGTAATTGATCAGCTCCTTCATGTTCTCCTAATGCGAAGCCATAAGAGTCATCGACCCTAAACAAATGATTGGCAACTTACCCTGCGCATGTGCTCGAAAAACTCTTGACAAGATGCACTCAGCAGACTATCCCGATACGACTCTTGCAGTGCCAAATCAAGGATAGGCTTGAAGACATCCAGCTTGAGGAGGTGATTGAAGAAGTTCTTGTTGTTGAGCTTGAGACATATCCGAAAGAAACGGAAAGCGGCTGTAATAGTAGCGGATATCTAGCTATAGAGGGCAACAAGCGAGACGATAACGCACATAATCGCAGGTGCTTGTCTCGAGCACTAAGCAGTGTGGCCACACGAGTAGAGATATTAGAAGAGAGCATGTAAAAGTGGCTCCGGAATGTGTGTTGCTGAGCGAAAATGCACAGTAAGTCACACAAGTATAGGAAAAGGTTGGTTTTTTCTCGCGATAGTTTCAGTGTAGGTTCCCCGTCTAAAGACTATCATCCAAGGATCCTCAATAAGTAATGTAAAAAAACTTACCTGTCTGCTTCCTGAAGTCCGGGATATCTCCGTACGGTTTGAACAAGACTTCTATGCAGTTCTTGTAAAAGTAATCCAAAAACTTCTCAGTTCCCGGGTCGTCTTTGGGACGAGCCGACAGCCTCGCACCGAGTGCAGACTGTGGAAACCATAGGTACGAAGTAGTTGAATGACAATGTTACACTTACGGGTGTTATCCCGGGACCAACGGCATTTTGTGAAATGTCAAGGAGCGCCTTCAGAGCATCTCCGATCTGACATTGCACCGCTAAGTCACGACTGTGAGTGAGGACCCGGCACATGAGCTTCAATAGCGTCTCGGCCTTGTCAACACCGATCCGTTCTGCATCCTTTTCCCGATCGATAGCCATGGCTTGTTTATAGACGTGGCCACGGACACCGTGGAGGTCATGGTCAAGTAGAGCGGACATTATTTCGCTCGCCGCATTTATGACGACTTTTGACGTGCTTTCCTTCTCATTGAGTCCGAATGCCCATTGCACAGCGAATAATATCCCCCGGTCCACAAGCGTTCGAAAAAGTGCCATTCTTGCTGGAAGCTGGACGTTCTTTCCCATCACACAAAGTTGCTGGATGAGAAGAACCACTTCCCTGCGAAACGCAATGTCACTCTCAGTCAGTGGTCCCGGCGGGTCAAAAGAGAAGGGTGTTGTTTGCGGCAAGTGCCGTCCATTTGCCGTAGTGGCATCGGGCGTTCCGGCAGCGTCGATTTCTTCACCATCTTTCCGGGGACCAGCGAGCACCTCTTCGCTCACGTACAGTCTCACAATCTCCTGTAGAAAAACTGGATCTTGCTGGACATGATTGATGATGTCAATTTGGTTGAAGAGGATACAGGAGTTGAGCACGTTGAAGGTTGAGTCATCGAGGATGCGGGCGAGTACGACGTCCTTAAGAAACTGGAGGCGAAACGTGTGGTGAACCTTCTTGCGTATAGTTTCATCTCGAATGACAATAGGTTGGTGGAAACGAGTGTTGTTATGGAGGAAGTCCCGGTAATTTGCTTTGTGCGTAGGGAATTCCGGATCATCTAGACCACGCTATAAGCGAACAGCGAGCATTTTCAATAGGGAAAAACCCACATTCAAGCATCCCAACCACTCCAAAGAAGATGTCGTCTTCAAGGATGTGCTCGTAAATGCTATGGTCGTTCATCAACACTGTAAGTGGGCGTGAGCAGCACCGACATAAAATCTGAGCCGAACGCGTTACAAATAGTTTGCATGAGACTACACAACGCATGAAGATTATCGAGGCTTTCCAAATCCTCTGCCATGCTCATAACGTCGATGAGTGCTTTGATATATCCCTAAGATTGCGTTTCAGTAATATGAGCAGCCGGAAGTTTCTTATCCATATTATGACTCACTTCGCGTTGGATGTACTCGCATATCCTCTCCTTGATGGTTTGGGTTCGAGCGAGTGCTTTGATGGCACCCTCAATATCTTGGATATTACCTAATTGCGGAGATGGCAAGTGACCGGTGCGGATAATGGTTGCGGTGGTAGCAGAATGATCACCGGCAGGGGACGAAGAACCAAGCCCTTGATCTTCTAACCAAAAGCACATAACGATTAGGTGAGTGTCAAAGCGACGAAAGAGCACGAGTCACACATGGTGGGCAGAGGGTTAGTGTGACGCTCACCTGTATTCAAGTGGCGTTGCACTTCGATGATAAAGTTCCAGACCTCCGCACATCCATCTGCATCCTGGAAGCTTAATGCATAGTCTGCCCCGTCTGGTTCTGTCCACACAATTAAACTATCTGCAAGCTGATGAGTACACGAGACACGTTTTGGTAACCCATTTCCGTCGGAATATAATGGCAGGTACGCGAATGGAAGGAATCGCACCTTGTTGACGTTGGTAGACGTCATTCGAACGGATGGCTGTGGAGAGGATGACTTTGTTAAAGTCCGCCTCGGAGCGGGCAATGAGAAAGGCCTGGTTGCCCTCGTCGAGCTGCCCAAAGCAGTAGGCAGTACCTTGATCGACCCATCGCGAGCCGATGAGTTCGTAAACCTTTGCGGAACAGGGCGAGTGTGGGTTAGAGTGCGTTCGAGCTGAAGTCATGCAAATGACGAAGACAAAGAGACGAAGAAACGCGTTCGTCACAAGGTTGAAAGAAACGTGACACCGGACAAAATTCAACAGGGTGCATGGCAGCAACGATGAACCACCAAAATCCGGGAATAGGCGATCTCGTATGACTGTTGTAAAAGGTGAGATGAAGCTCACCTTTACGCGTTTTAATTCCTGCGAAGACTCAGGGGATTGCTGAGAGTCAGAAGCGGAGTCAGCGGTCTCGGGTGTGTTGATGTGGTCTTCCTTGACATGCTCTCCAACGTGTTCAACGTCGCCAAAAAGTAGGTCACGAGAGTCACCCAAGGACAAGGGATTTGAGGATGGGGCGTTCAAAGCAGTGGCTGGTTCGGTAAGACAATCAAGGTCGAGGTCCAGCGCAGAGTGATTGGCTGCAGCTGCAAGCAGGTCGTGTGGAGCGGCTGATAATGGACCGTGTTGCATGTCGACAACATCGTTGCCCGGCGTGAAAGACGGCAATTCCTGGTCCGTCCCACTCATAGCAGACGTCGTCCCGTAGTAATCACGAGCCTAACGGCGCCCTCCGACACACCAACCAATGAGACCGGTGGGGTTGTTGTCGACGTGTGTTTCGTCGACAACGTTAACCAGAACGAAAACACCGTGGGAACGCTGTCTGGGGTCGAACCAAACACACGACAGAGGCTCGCCGTCGTCATCGACACTGGCAAGAACAGCATCGGCGTCGTCGTGGGCGGTCATCTCAAACAGCATCAGCCGAGACTCAAACGGGGACATCCTTCATGTTGCCCAGATCACCCTTGTCAAGTGACATTACATCGTGAACGTGTCTCATGTCAGGCGATCGGCGTGACTCGTTCGAATCCAAAGGAAGAATTAAATCGATATCGGGCTCGTTTGCGGGTCCGTCCGATAGTATTTGCTGATATCCTGCCTGGTCTTTTGTTGGAACCGCCAAGGAACCTCTCACTTTGCTGGTACCCACTTCCCTCGACTAATCATTGAAAACTCCCATGTTACTCGCACTGGATTGGTTTCGATGCCAACAGCCTAGTCTCGTCAGGTCGTCGTCGGAGGGCTCATCTGAGTGCGGAGGATCGCAGTGCGGTGCTGTCTTGTCAATGCTTGCACGCCGTGAGCGACTGGCCAGGCCAGGTTTGGCCATCGCTTTCCCCGTCGTTGCTCAAGCAAAGCACCGAAAAGATGAGAGTCCAAGA